TATTTTTCATCTTTCCTGCTTCCAATTAACCTAATGACTCTACAATATATCTATATGTAATAATAAAATGTATAAATCAAAATTCTGTTTTTAATTTGCAAAAGTCCCTCAACTTTTTTTAATATGGTTATTTTCTATCTCCTTCTTCTAAATAGTAACTGTGGTTACAGTAAATCTAAACTATATCAATTCGAAATGAATCTCTTTTGCATGATACTTACATATTGCTACTGACACAGGCACTTACTAAATTTCCCAGTATATAAGATTCTCTTTTTCTTAAATTATTTCGAATCTAAAAACTGATCTTGTACAACAGTGGCTCTAGTAGCTACAGAAAGTCCAAACAAAACCAAGGGTGAAAGATTGTCAGCAATGGCATGTGTGTTAAACCTGAGAATACTGCTTACATGTTTCTTTAAAAAAAGGAAAACATCTGAAGTTCCATTTGAGATTCACAACAATTTCTTACACCCACCATTCGTTAACAAACAAAGAGATATGAAGTTTTCAAATGATATCACGTATAGTTCCTAACAAAACAAGTGAATGTATGTTAAGTCATCTTTAACCTAAAGACACCACAAAGAATTTTTTTGGACAAGACTGTCTACAATAAAGATGAAATGGTACAGTGCATTTGAAGAAACTGCACCTTAGGTTATTGTATACTTTAGAGGGAGTTAAATGATGAGTTGTAACAGAGTTGAGGACGAGTTGCATACTGAATAAACACTGATTTCAATAACTGTAAGTAATAATATTTTCCTGTTAAATTGTAATCCAGCAGGCTAATTAAAATCAGTTTGTCAACCAATTAATTCTTTATAGTTTTAAATTTTTGGGTCCTAAAATCGAACTGCATCTTATGCGTGGGAGCATCTTATGCAAGGGGAATTGGTACATAGTGCTCCAGCCAATATTAATTTCAAATTTGAGAATCAAAACTTAAAATTTTGTTTATGTATTATCCCACTAACCATGAAACTGCCTTTCCTTGACCATTTTCACATATATTCTGTCAGGAAGTTCATTTGTGATAGTAGAGTGTGTTACCTTCTCATGGACTGTGCATATTAGTTTGTCCCTAGGGCCCCTGCTCGTCTTCTCAAGGCAAGGGTAAAAACCTCCCCAGCATATTTGCAAGTAGCTTGATCCCTGTGCCATTCAGAAATGTAATAAAATTTAAATATGGCCTTTTTTCATCTGCGTTTCATGCAATAAAGCCTCTCGATGCCCACAAAGGCACTGATGTCATGGAGGACGTAGTGAGTTTTGAACCGCTATCAAAAGTACAAACTAAGCTTCTGTATGTGTGAAATAAATGATGGGTCTATTATGAGATAGTGGCTGTCAGTGCATTTCAAAGTGATAACACTATCATTGGTGGATTCAAGTTGTTTGCAGCTCAAATATTCTATGAATAAAGCTATAGGAATATAAAAAAAGGTTGATCTTGCTAGTAGTCATATGCTTGTCTCGAAGATTAAGCAATGCATGTCTAAGTACGAGGGTTGAAACTTTACTCGTGTCAACACAGCTAAAAAACGCTACGCAATATAACCAAAGAATATTGCGTATACCACACGTAAACTACATACCTACCTTACCTCTCAGCAAAAAGTCCTGCCTATGTCACGCGCATGCAGAGTGACGCAAAGAATGGATCCTTGTATTACTCTAGTCGAAAGAATTGTTGTCAGATATTTTCAAAAAGAAACGAGTTGATAAAAATTGAATGTGCCAGAGTCGTACGCAGACAGTGTCGTCAAGGGTTCAAGAGGCGTGGGAATCTGCATTGCCTTACAGACCCTATCATAGGAAAACTTCATGAAGGATACTAAACAGCAGACATCCGCGCAGTCTCGTTGTCCAGCGATGCAAACGTGCAAGCTTTTGCGCCATGGACGTTATTGCCGCCAAATGATTCGCAGCTGGCTGGACAAGGATTTATGCATATGACTGTGCTCACATTCTGAAGGAACCTCTGTCCATGAAAAAATTTGCTTAGATGGGTCCACGCAGTTGACAAAGGCAGAAATGGCTACGACCCGATGCTGCCGAACCACCGAGCGCATGAGCGCAAGAGATCTTTTTTATGCCATATCATACGCTGGATGCTACTTGGCCCAATCAATGATGGCGTAATCACGTGTCCCACTACGTTCGAAATTTCCTCAGAACCCCAGCATGTGAAGTTATGGGATTCTCGTGTACACGTGATGGTTCATCCTACGCATACCGTTCCCCCCCAGACTCATTCGCATATTAATGCTCATTTTGAGCACATCTCCGCCACTTTGAGAAAAAACATCAACACTTTCTGCATACGCCCTCTCATTTTGCAGACATGCTCGCCACATGCACCAAGCTGTGACTGCTTGTTCAAGCGCTGGGGCTGGGATGCTTACCGTCCACCATACCCCCAGATCAAGCCCTGTGACTATGACTTAATTTCTAAGCTGAAGGAACCACTTCGAGGCACTCGCTTCCAACGTTTCTGAGTCTTGGCGGCATAAACAGCTCCATTCAAACTATACAAAACAGGCGCTGCACAGGATTCTGCGACTTCCCATTGTTGGAAACAGGTTGTACACGTGCTGTCACTATATTGAAGGACTTAAACAGTGCATGAGTCACTTTGTATTCCTGAAATAAATAGTTGCCACTATTAAAATTCCAACCCTCGTGCATGATGCATCTGCACTTTTGTTTGATGTAAACCTGGTTGGTTCCCAATAAACCACCTCATGCTTTTATGAATAAGGATATAAATTATCTGTAATTGCTGCATTTTTTCTCCCATTTAGAAAATTATTAAGATTTGGGACCTGCCTTCTACAGAGCTACAAGCAGTGGATTATTTTCAAGGTTTTAGTATCCTACCATAAAAAAGTGGTTATAAATAGACACGATATTGTCAGCTAAACACTGACAAAACACTAATTAATAGCTTAGAACAGTTACATAAAATCTGTAGGCTAACAATATGTATTCTAAACAGTATTCTGTGTTCTAAACAGAGCTTCTGGGGAAATCAATGTCTAACAAAACAGTAGAAATTGATGAAAGCCTTTTTGCAAAGTGTAAAAAAAAAAAAAAAAAAAAAAAAAGGGTTGAATACTGATTGTTAGTTAATAAACAGGCATCCATTATTTCAGAATTCCGTAAGATTGATTGATGCAACTTTGTTAGGTCTCCGCCACGTTTGATGGTGGTAGACAACTTGTGCAGTTGACAGGATAATACCCTTGAAATTAATGAATAGAAATAAAGCTTTGTTAAAACTAGATATTTCTAAACCAAATTTTCATCTTGGACACATCACATTTTCTTTTTTCCTTCTCTGCTACCAACTCGCGTATCATTTGCTGCTATACTTGCTTTCGATATTGAAAAATTCATTACAGAATGGGTATGCAGATTTCACTCGTTAAGCTATGTTATGTCTATGTCAATCATAATTATGTTGAGATATAAAATTGCTGAATCAACTGTGTTTGCTAATATGTCACTTTATAAATCACACTATGCTTCATCAACAGTATACAAATTATTTCATGTGTGTTTATATATAAAAAATTTAGAACCAAATCCCACAAAGACATGAAGGAAATAAAATTAAAAACCAGCAAAAACCAAAATTCTGTATAAATATGTAAAAAATCAACCAATAGTTACCAAACCGGAAGAAAAAAAAATTGATACTTTTATGTATATATTCATATATTCGTATTTCCATTGTGACTTTAACAGTATATGAACATTGAAGTATTATTTTATTTTAGTTTTTGTTAACTTATAAACAGTTAATTAAAAAAAATAACTTATCTAATGATTTCTTTCAGATTTTAATGCTCTTGCCATGTTTTATGTTGCTAATGATGTTATTCAACACTGTGGAAAAAAGAAAGCTCCAGAATTTAGAGAGGCCTTTTCAACTGTTTTAGAAAAGGCAGTTTGTCTTCAGAAGTAAGACTTGCTTCATGTATCATTATAAAGTGTTTTTATGGAAAATATTTTAAAAACATTTTATTTACAAGAAACTAAGTATGTTTGCCCCTTTTGTGTAACTATTCATGGTATTTATGCATGTACAGTACAAAGTCTGTAATCCGGACTCGTCGGGACTTTGGCGATTCTGGATTAGGGGTTTTTCCGGATAATAGATCATCAATTAAAATCTGGTAAGATGGCATGCAGAAATTATACAATTAAAAATATGAAAACGTAATTTATGAAATAAAGAGCAGTTATGATCTAAAGGGTATCAAAATTTACAAAACTAAAGCTTAATATTTATTTGTTTATTTTATTAAACATTTCTATTAATGTAAGTTGTTTAGGTTGCTTTGATTTTTGTGCTAATACTTTCTCTTTAATTCTATAAACAGACATAACTTCTTGTTCGGTTACAGTTCCATTGTTCAAGTCCTGTGATTGCCGTGTCGAGAATACAGACTGACTTGTCAATCGAAATTTTTTCATTTTCAATAACCTTTCTGTCACTTTCTTCACTATCGGAAGCGCACATGGGTAAACGCTTTATGCACATGCATAAGTTTGTGGCTCTCAGGTCCGGATTATAGGTCATTCCGGATAATGGACTTTGTACTGTACTTTTTAGAAAATCATTTATTTATACTTTTGCGATTAACCCTGGAGCACATGTGCTCATCCGCCTTGAGTTTTTTAAGAAAAAATCAAAAATCATCAGGTAAAAGTGTTATACTTATGCCAGTAATAAATTTTATGATCAATCTTAAGAAGTATGCACATAAAATTTTTCAATTCCTCCTAACACCAGTTCCAGGCGCCACACCATAAAAGAAGGACGTTCCCTCAGCGAGCTGCCATGTAGTTGCTTATTTTTCCAAGCTTTACCATCATCCTTTCCTGCAACCTGAGAAGTGGTCATTATGCCAAGTTATTAGTCCAAAGGGATTTGAATCCCGAAGGACTGTTAGTTTCGTTTTGGCATTTTGCGTCGGACGGATAAATGTCGGTTCACTTTTCAAACTGTTGCCATAAAATGTTAGAGTCCTGCTTTATATTTGAAGAAATTAAATAATGAAAATCTGCGTAAATGTATGTATATTTCTCACATTGTCATAAAATACGGTACATAGAGTCATCGAATTTGAATAACGTAATCCTCCAACAATATGAGCATGTGGAAGACCAAATTTGAAATTTGAAATTTGTTTTATGATCGATTTCCTATTTTTTAAAACTTTGACAAATTTTTGATTAACAAACTCAAGGATTTCAAAGCGAGCAATGGCAACGTTGTGCAAAAAACATTTTATATCTCCAGCGTGTGAGTCTCTGTATCGAAATGCTAAAGATATGCTCGTTTTAAAACTATTTTGCGATATTGCTGTTGCACTGGATCTTATGGTTTAAGTGTGAGGAGCATGATATTTAATAAAGGAAGGTAACACACAAAATGTTAAAAAACGTCCCTTTGGACGTAATTTAAAATCTGAAACATTTCAGATTTTTTTTTTTTCCTCCTGTTTACTGTAGGATCGCATCACCCACAGAACCTAATTCTGCCTTGAATATTTTCTCGCGATAACTTTATTATTTGCACTCCCATTTTATGCTGCCATGAGCCTATTAATCAAAAATCTTTCTCTTCGCTTTATGCTTTTGTGTTGTATTGTGTGTTATATATATATATATAAATTTATTTAGTAAGAAATATTGATTATATATATCTCCTAAGATTAATTTTAGTAGAAATATCTTTAGAGTGAATCCATAGTAGTAGTTCAATCCGAAAATTGTTTTAAAGTAACTTGAATGTAAATTGTTAAAAATGTTTAACAGGGACTTGATTTAAATCATGAATAACAAATTTTCAATTGTAAAAAGAAATAAATTAAAAAAGGTAATCATTGTCATTGATCGAAAATTAGTTGACTTTTTAAGGGGAACAAACCAACTCCCGTTCAATGAACAATAATTAAGAAATTAATACGAAGGTGTTTCGTCCTTTACTCAAGTAATAAGGCAATGCCAAACCGGCAATTCAAGCTAGGCCAAATATTTCCGTGAATAGAAGGGATCAAGAACCAATGCAGAGCACCAAAGAACTCATTCCAATTAAGCATTTTTGCTAATTCAATTTTGAGTGAAAAGCAATTTCTGCAGTAAAATTGATAAATTGTCCCTCGACACCCTCGTGTTTATGCATTTTAAATCAAAACTATTTGTAAAAATTAAACATTGGAAATTGGCATTATGAAATAGAACTCAAAGTAATTGAAATAAATGTTAGAAAATTACGAAATATAAGAAATGCATTATATTTTCAGTCCAGTGCAAGCACATAGACTGAAAATTGGGAGTCCTATTTCATCGATGAAGCATGAGGTTTGTGATCTTTACCTCATTGGAACTTACCACTAGTCATTTTCTCTTCCGAAATATTCAATTCATTTGATAAAATGGAAAATAACGGCACAGATCAAGCCACTGGAAATATAGCACATGTAGCAAAGAAAGCTCCTCCCTTCTGACGAGCAAATCCGGAAATCTGGTTCTGGCAGATCGAAAGCCAGTTTGCATTAACCGGTGTAACAGTAGAGTGCACAAAATTCCACTACGTATTTTCTGTTTTACAACCTGAGGAGTTAGCGGTTGTAGGAGACATTATTCTTAACCCTCCAGCCGAGGCTGCATATAAAGTGGTCTATGTATGCAATATGCAGATATGGAGGAACAGCGTCTCGGAGACCTCATTTTTGGAATGCAGCTTGGTGACAAAAAATCATCACGCCTCTTACTAGAAATGCGGAGTATGGCTGGCTCACGAATGAGCGACGATCTTTTTTAAATCACTTTTCTTGCAGCAACTGCCATCACATGCACAACAGATTTTAGCCATTTCCATTGACAAGTTACACAAGCTTGCCGAGCTGGCCACTGGAAACAGTGCTTCAGTGTTTGAAGTAAGAACAGAAGACTCTACGCTAAAAGAATTATTAATGGATATTTCATCTCGCCTCTCTCGGATTGAAACACGTTCCAGATCGTATTCAATCGAACGAGAGCAGCAGAACAAAAGAGGCCGTTCATCAAGCCACCAATGACGAGGTAATACAGAGCATTACTGGTACCATCAACGGTTTAAAGAAAAAGCTACCAAGTGCACTAAACCCTCTACTTTTAGGGCGGAAAACTAGTGCCGCAGTTACTTGGCTCTTTGGGTGTGCAAAACTGAGATTATTGTTTATACCTCTCAGATAAATCCACACCATTAAAGTATCTGATTGATACGAGATGTCTTGGTAGTTCCGCCCACAGTTACGGAGCGCAGCCAGGAACCTGCCATTTGTCATCGCTGCAGTCTCTTAACCTATTATTGGGGCTGACTTCCTTCTTCACTTTGGATTACTGGTCGACATTCATCAAAAATGTTTGGTGGATCCACTTACCCAACTATGTTCCAAAGGAACTGTGACTACAAAAGATATAACTCACATCAAGGCAATCAAAGGAGATACTAAATTTCACAAAATGCTTGCCAAGTTTCCTGCACTTACCTAAGCTAGCTCAACAGCACGAAAAATTCAGCACGACATTACTAACTGTATTGAGACTAGAGGACCACCTGTGTTTTCATGGCCACGTAGGCTTTCAGCCGATAAGCTTAAAGCAGCCAAACACCGAAATCTGTAGACCCTCCAAAAGCTGCTGGGCATCCCCTCTGCTCATGGTGACCAAAAGCAATTTATATTGGCAACATTGTGGGGATTATAGGAAATTAAATAGTGCCACCATTCCAGACACTGCAGGACATTACAGGACACTACATTCCTCACATACAGGATTGTCTTCAAGTCTTAGATGGGAAGTGGATGTTTTCAATTCTGGATTTGGAAAGAGCTTACCATCAAATTCAAGATGTGCCAAAAGCAGCTGTTTCTACACCATTCATTCTCTTCGAATATTTATTCATGCCATTCGGGTTATCGAATGCTGTGGCTACATTCCAGAGGTTTATTCATCATGTTCTCAATGGACTGGACTTTTGTGTACCATACTTTGATGATGTTTGTGGTAGCATCTGAAAATGACACCTAGCACATGCAACATCATAAGATAGTGTTCCAGCAATTCACAGATTATGGTATAGTACTAAATGCAGCTAAATGTGCCTTGGGTAAATCAACTGTGAAATTTCTAGGACATATGGTAACTCCCGAGAGTATCACTCCTTTACTAGAAAAAGTTTCAGTAATTTTGAATTTCCCAAAACCAGAAACTGTGAAAGAACTTGGGCATTTTCTGGCTATGGGCAACTTTTGCCGATGTTTTATTCCGCAAGCTCCAAAAACTCAAGCGATACATACCTAAAGGGAGCAATGAAAAACGACAAAAGACTAATCGCATGGACTGAAGTAACCACAAATGCATTTGAGAAATGTAAGAAAGATCTGTCAGACACAGTGATCTTGTACCATCTTTCGTCAGAGACCCCACTCACAATTGTAGTTGATGCTTCTGACATAGCTATGAGTGCAGCTCTTCACCAACAAGTTGAAAAAAGATGGCAACGTCTTGCTTTTTACTCAAAAAAAAAAAAAAAAATCTCCAACTCAACAGAGATACAGTGCATACAGAAAGCTCCTTGCGTCGTATATGGCAATAAGGCACTTTTGACATATGGTCGAAGGTCTGAACTTCATTTTATTCACAGACCACAAACCACTTACATTTGCATTTCGGCAAAAAGAAGATAAATGCTCTCCACAAGAACTTAGACAACTGACTTTATCAGCCAATTTATGACTGATATTTGCTACTTAAAAGGTTCTGGTTATGTGGTAGTGGATATGCTGTCTTGAATTCATATAACTACAGTTAGACACCATCTGCTATCAACTACTACCAGCTTGCCAAGGAGCAAGAAAATTATGCTGAACTGTGAAATATTTTATCAGGAAGTTTGACTACCTCCT